TGCAGAAGTTGAGAGAGCACATTGTTTGTAATCTGGCATTGCAGGGGTCACTTCCTGAATCGTGTGTCCGCTCCCTGAGCCCCGCGCCGATCCCTCCTTTTTCCCCCTCCTCCATGTGTGTCCATCCATTGCCCAAGTAGCCTAGGGCTTTTGGACAAACCCTGTTCTTCCCTTTTGTGTAGGAAAGCTTCAACATCTGAAAACAATCAAATAATCTGGGCACAATGCGTCTCTTCATGGAGGGGTGCTGGTGGTTCCCAGATGAGCGGGAGGATTAAGTGGAGGAGGCCATATAGGAGAGAAAGAGAGGGATGGGGATGGGGGGCTACACAGCTGAGGGGGGACTTATTGTTACTAGATTTTCATAGAAAAATGTGTGTGTTGGTAGTTCTGTGTGTAGGGATGTTTTGGGAATAAGGAAGACCTCTGAATACTCTTCCAGAGAGTAATATGAGGAGTCATGTCTGACTCACAAGTTTTTAAGGTCATTGATTCCTTCTCATTTGATTCAGAATGGGGAAAAATTGCAGTGAAAACTACACACTGAAAATTAATAACTGTCTCTTCATTCTATTTTCACAGACAGAAAGCCTTCACATTGAATACATATTTGCAATGTTGGACAATGAAAGCATGTAAACGGTAACAAAAAATGTATTTACAACATGGTGCAGTGAGTTGAACTAATGCTATGCCCTTTGTATATTTAGGGTGTATTACTTAAAGGAATAACTTGGCATTGTGGAAAATACATTTATGTGCCGAGAATTTCCGAGAGTTAGATGAGAGAATTGATACCACCGACATGTCTGTACGGTAAGGAGCCAGCAGCTAATTAGCTTAGCACAAAGACTGGAAACTGGAAACAGCTAGCCCCGCTCTGAAAAACTGTAACTTTCGTTTTATGGAGCGTTATGAGCCAGACTATTTTTTGGCTGGTCTAGCAGTTTTCCCTATTTCCAGTCTTTGTGCTCTTTATCATGACAAAAAGCACATAACCTTATGTTATGTGCTAACCGAATGTTTATGTTAGAGATTATGTTTATATAGTCTTTATGTGCTAACATAAAGATTGCTCATGTCAGTCGCCTGCGAGCTAACTATCTACTAACTACTACTACATCTAACTCTCACCATTAAAAAAAATTTAAATAAATAATAACAAGCATGTTTCTCAAAATGTCAACTATTCATTTAAGTTTATTGTAATAAAAGTACCAATATGACATCATGATAATAGAAGAAATGTCTCTTTAGCTCTCTTTCCTCAGCCTTCTTTTATTATGCACAACTGTACAAGCATGCACGAGCCCACACACACGCACGCAAACTTCTTCTTCTCTTGTGTCTCTCATGCTGTTCCTTCTCATCCCCATGAGAATGGTAAATAGTCATCTGTAACTTCCCCTCAAACATATTCATTAATCCTTTCTATCCTGTGGGGCTGGATGATGATTACAGGGAAGCCAACTGAAGCCGCCCAAATAAACACCCCTCAGGCAGCAACAAAGGCCTGTCCACCTCACCCTAAACACAGCTTCCCCAGCGAGCTCAGGTTTCAATCAAGCCCACGCACAGCATGCAAAAAAAAAATAAAAAATAGGAAGTAACAATGTTTCGAGCACAGAAAAAGCTAACTGCGGCTGAAACCAATTTAGTTTCCCATTTTTGTAGTTGAGACGTTAGCAACTGGTATGAATTTACTGTAAAGAAGAGCTTAAGTGTTAACTGTAATCAAGCCTAAAAGTGAAGTGACAGACTGCCTTACCCTCATCACTCATGTAAATGTTAGATAGAAAGTGGTAGAACACCGTGTAAAAATGTTAGTACAGTGCTACACTTTTGGTTTCTCTTCATTTGAAGCAGAACAATAACACCCAACTCATTTCCCCTGTAAAACACACTGTAGTGTGGTTGTCGGGTGTTCACATATTTCAGATTCTAACCACTTACACAATCCATGAGACGTTTCCATCAAGGGCTTTACAGCCATAAATTGCCTTCCTTCTGAACCAACATCCTTGTGCACGGTCACAAGACCGGCTCTTTCAGCTTGACACACTTTACTCATCTATTTATCCACATCCATCTCTCTTCTAAGACATTCTTGAAACAAAATCTTGAAAAAGAAAATCCCCTCATGCTGCTTAAAGAACATCAAAGATTTCTCAAACATGTATTCTGAGGACGATTAAGCAATGTAATAAATGTTTGCATCTTTAGTTCCACACTGGTCACATGCATATACACACACTGAGACAGAGAGAGAGAGTCAGTAGACAGCGCATAGTCAAACATGCCTGAAGGCCCTCACACTTCCTTCCCCTCCAGCCGCTACACCTTTTCTACTTACCACCCTACAATTAGCGTGCCTAAAAGTTGCAGGCTTCCGAGGCCAGGCCCACACTAATCATAGGTATGCATTGTTGTGTTCAGCTGCCAGGCCTTTAAAAATCAGCACCTCTTGTTAAAGCCACACCTCTTGGCCCGGCTTGCCACGAGTCCACTGTCGTTGTCCGAAGGGGTCCCACAGACAAACAGGAGAAGCAGGTGTGTGTTTTTAAGAATGGAAAGCAATAACATTTAACCACTCAGAAACCCGGGAGTCCACACAGTGCTTACACAACATATATGTTTAAAAGTAACTCATGGAGAAAAGGCAGGGAGGTAAAATAAAAAATAAGGCAGAGGATCCTGAGATTAGGTTATTTACCAAGTGACCAGAGGCTACTTGTGCTGCTGGGAGCTGGTGATCACATCATCTGTGTTTTGAGGTCGTCATCTGATTCTAGACATCATCGTCCAGTACTAGGAATGACTCTCCTGTGCTATTTTGAATAAAAGTGGCCATATAAAGATGTTTTTGGGTTTTTTTTTTTTATGCCATTAACTACATTGGTTCATCTCTCATCACTATCCCCTTCATACCATCATGTTAACAAATCCGTCTGTGTATTTTCAGTTTGTGAATCGAATTCTAGTTATTATCTGCAAACAGACCATCAATATGAGCATTACATTCCACTCCAAACACACACCTACAGGTCTACACAGAAGTGTCAACTCATAGCTAAAATCCTAAATGAATGCTCTCAAGTTCATAAGTAGAATAACAAATCGGATCCAAGAAATGGGTAAATAAGTTGTGTGTAAAATCAGCTTCAGTGCTGAAATTATTACTGAAAAATTAAGAAACTTGACCAAACACAAATCGCATCAGCGTATGAGCTGCAAATGATTTCAGCCATCTTCCTGGAAGTCAAGTAAGGTTCTGTTTGAATTGGATTGCTGAATGAGGTTTGTGTTGAGCTAAACACATCCTTTATTCTGTGGTTGTTTGTTGGCAATATAGGAATGTTTGCTTGTTTACCATCTTAAAGAGAATTGTGATGACCCTGATTGCACTTAGTGAGGGAAGCCAAGGGATGCCTCTGTTAGCTAAACATCCTGTTGCCGTGTTTAAGTAAGTGTGCTGTGTTCAGTGTGTGAAAAACACAGGAAATACACTAGGGCTATCCACATTTGTGAGATGAGAAAGAAGGCTGACTTCCTGAACTCTGAATACTCTAAAGGATACAAGCATGCCAGTGGGAAAATTCATGGTCATTGCTTTTTCTGCTCTATTTGAAACAAGGGACACTTTATTTGGGCTTGTAAGCTTGATCATGACAATGGTAACCCAATTCAAAAAGGAAGAAGTGAAGACAAGTGACCACATTTAGTAAAATGCAGTCAGGAACGATTTTCTTTAACCTGATTAACCAATCTGAGAATTTTTAGAAATGCAGATTGTTTTTTGGGAAATAAGCGCCTGTAACATTTATATCAGGCTGGCCTTCTGTATTTTTGGTGAGAAAACAATCTGAAGAGACAATTCCCCTTTGTTCTCAGGCAGTCATCAGGGTAGCAGTACACACCTCAGACAGAAAGTATAATAATAATATAAAATATATATATAATATACAATATGTGTCAGGGCTGTGCATGTGAGGGTCCTGTGTGCACGGGCTGTCTATATACAGTGACACAGAGGGATGTTTTATATGGCTGCAACATAAGGCTGTGGCACAAGCTTTATGAAAGCCAGAGACATACAAAGAAACTTCTCACACAACATGCTGTCACTATGACAACCAGGCAGAATCATTTAGCCTGATCTCTTGCCATTCCTCACAGCACAGAAATCCAATAGCATTTAAATCTTACGCAACCAGGCCACCAATTCACTCTGCGAGGCTGTTAACACATTTGCAAATAAGATTCATAGGTGCACACTTGAAGTTTTCTAGTGGTTTCTAAGGTTGTTTTATTTTGGAGGGTGCTCCAGCAGCCTGGAGTGGGTTTGGGGTGCAAGGTGGGGCAGCTTTTAACTATATGAGTAGACTTACTTGTATGCATTTTAGTCCCCTCCTTATCCACATTTGCAAGCTCAAAACCCCCTTTATGGCTTAGTGATGGAGGTCAATCACATGCCTCATTTTTTATTTACCACTACCAGCTATTGCATTACTGAAACAATAGCACACTGCAATTTCAAACTAGCCCTCAGAATAGATTCCACTTGTGTTTCAGAAAATACACTCTTTTTCTGTATAGCCTTTTCTCAGCCTTTCACTTTACTTTTTGGTGTGAAGCTGTGTCTGTATGTATTATAACTGAACAATAAACACACACACAAACCCGCTCTAAAATAGGAATACAAAGCATGAAAGGGATTTAAAGCATTTCTCTAAAATTTTACATCAAGATTTTAAAAAGTGGTTCGGGGGCAGTCGATCGCGGTAAAGCTGCTTAATGAAGGAAAACTACTGAAATTGTTAATGGCCGAGTCTGTGTGTGTCAGCCCAGGTCCTTCCTCTAGATTATTTTCTACTTTGCGTGCTATCACACAGACGCTTCCCTCTTGTATCAATGCGTGATTGAAGGGAAACTTCTTTTGGGAAGTGCGGGGACTACTTTAGGTGAACTTTGGAACGAAACACTCCTAATTTACTGCATACGGCTACAGGGGCACGCAGTTTAGCGCAATATACGTTACTCTTTAACGAGATACGATACATCAAGTGCTAGTTAACACTCTTGCGATAAAATATGCTTATGTTTTTACTACGTCGCGGAAGGATCTAATTTTCTCAAGCGAAGGTCTACACATCCGCCCAGTTTTCCGATGTTTCATTCCCCCCGAGTTGAAAATGGAGTTCGATTAAAGCAGATGTCCACCAACTTCGCAAGGAAATTTCAATTCTAGATGCTTTTACTTTACGCGTCAGCACTTATATTGAAAACAGTTGAACCCGGTTTCGGCTTTGGATGCCTTTACTGCAAATAACTCAGACACGTTGACGGAGCGACGCTCCACAGCGCTTTTTCAAGTGTTGTCCTGGACCTGAAGTTGGCGAATGGATGCTCGACAGCCAGCCATAAATAACCTGCCAAACATTATTGTCTGCAACAATTTCTACATTTTCTGAGGATCTATTCACGTTTTGCAAACCGGGGATCTGTGTTTGTTGAAGAGGATGGTGCCGATGGCCCATTTGTTGTGGTCGGATTTTACTTCCAGGGAGGATAAAATGAATCAACGATTGTCAATCCTCCTCGCGATTTAACGTTAGTTCCAGCCAGCAAAGCTAACGTTAAGCTAGCTTCATTTGGTTCTCACAGGGACGCTTAGTCTGGCATGCCCCGTCGTGCATCGTTTATTTACCATCCAAAATAGGGGTGATTTCTATATGTGAAGGAAAATGGTGATATTTGTGGCATTTTATCCCGCCGTGACTGCGTCGTCGATGCTATTGCTAGGATTTGGATCCCCGTGAGGAAAAAAATGAGTGAAGATTCAACAAATCCAAACAACGAGTGAGTAACAGCTACTCTTTATCCATTTTCCCCATTCACATATACAACACACAGCTGCAATAGTAATGTACTTGCACATCTTCAGATATTAACACACGCTTTCCTCAATGAGCTATGCAGTACCAGTTCCCAATGACATTTCTAACCGAGCGACGCCGGCGTTTCACCGTCTTACTTTCTTAATATCAACAATAACAAAAACAGATTTATAATCTTTTTAGTTTACTAGACTAATATAAAGGTACGCCAGGGATTAAATTATTAGTCTTAAAAGGAAGAGTGTCTGACAAGGAATGGCATAGGCCCTTAATAATTCTGGTCTTATAATTAAACTAAGTAACATGTATGATATGATAATTCATATTAGGCCACAGTAAGTATATTAATGGTTGCGTGAATGTAATAGATTCAACCTGACAAGTATATGCCCAGGATATTATTACTTTATAGGTTTGGTAGTTATACGGCAGTTTATGAGGGATCACGCATCGTAGACACATACACAGCAATAATCCAGTGTAACTATGATTTTATATACATGTCTATGCAATGCATCACGATCAGAATAGCGTTATAGTGACAATCTAGATCTGTATGTAACTGCTGTCCGCCATGATTTCGGAACATAATCATCGATAAAAATCGTGCGGATCATGTTTGTATCTCAGTCCAGCCTTTCGTGTATGAAAAAAACCCTTCGAGCGGATTGCGGCAGTGTCAACGTTGAAAAGCTGAAGATGCCATTTTTTTTTTCTCAATCGCACTCATTTACATATCACAATCCCCATTCATAAAAAAAACGCTTTAAAAAAGGCGTCGCATTCACGCCCAAGTCCCCACAAACCGCGGACATGAATTGTGATCTGTATATGAGGTGTTATTTGTACACGTCGCGCCCATTTCAAGTCGCATTTCGCTATTGTTTTAATGGGCTGATCCCCTGTGTGCGCTTGTTGACAGTCAGTGAGAAATATCTGCTTCGGGAGGTGCTGCGGTCACATGATCCCCTCCATTCATAAAGTACCTGCCTGCCCATTCACAGCACTGTACACTGTTTCGCATTGCACCGGCGGTCACACAATGGCCACTTCTTCTGCCTTTACTGTACAGTGCATCACGCAGATGAACACCAGTGCTCCTCCATTAAGGCGTTTATTTTTTTTTTTACATAAGCGCAGCACATGCTCACCATCTCCGAGGGTTTTCGTTGATAATGTATTTGTCACAGAGGAAGTTAGATGGCCTTTTCAGCTATTTATAGTGTGACGGTTTAATGTTCGAAACGTACCAACGTATTTCATCTCTCTGCCCTTTTATAAGGTTAAGATTGATTTAATGCATGGAGGCTTTGTCCTTTAAGTACACTTCTGCATTTTTATTTAATATGTCAAGGAGTGCCCCCCCCCCCCCCCCCCCAACCTTACATCAAAAAAGATTGCATTTAAACTGCAAGCCCTCTATTGATGAATATTGTTTTAGTTTTTTTTTTTTTATGTAAGCTGATTTTTGCAGTTTAGATTAAAATTGTGGAATAATGCTAATTTGAACGGTGTAACCTCTCATTGGAGCAGTCATCTGAATACATTTTCTCATCATATTAACCTCCAGTGAGAGAAATTACAGTGAAATTAAACAATCCCTGAATTAGCTGGGACTCCCTGCTGTGGTAACCTCAGGGACTCCTCGAGGCCCCCCAGGTCCCACTTTGGGAGCTACTGCCATAGGCTACAGATGATCGATGTTGTGCAAGCTTCAGTATATGCTGAGTTTGTTCCACACTGCATGATGACAACAGCTAAGATGGCGAAGTGATCCAAACATTGTTGCTATGATTCCACCGCCTTTCTGGCTGTTGTGTGATTCATAGTAATGGAGTGAACAGAATACAGAACATTGCTTGAGCCATTTATTTTTGCTCAAGAGAGTCTTCTTAATATTCACCTTCCTAATGACACACTATTCACAAAAATCTGATTTTGTGTCTTGTTTTTTTAGCATCATGAATAATCAAAATGTTTTTCACAGTGTGTCCCTTTTTACATTGTGACATTATGCTCTCTTCCTTTTATAAGATAAATTCAGATCTTTGATGAGTCACTTGCTAAATCCTAAAAAATCATCAACCTGCCTTTTCATTTAATAGATGGATATTGTTAATTTAAATCCTGGTTATCTTTTGATGTTATGCTTCGTAATTCAGGAAAAATGTCTCTGTTCCCCTGTAGCCTTCATTGTAAACATTAGATTTTCCAAAAATGCGTGAAGAGATAGTCCTGAAGTGGTTTGGTCTCAATGATAGGTGGTAAGCCAAGCTGGTGTACACACAGCACACCCTTTGCTGAGAACATGTTACTTGGCCTTGGTGCAACTATGTTCGCAAGGCTAAAATGACAAGAAAGCACATAAAGCCTTGTCAGATTTTGGATTGCGTCTGCTCTGGGACGTGTGTCGTTGTGGAGCGGTGCGGTGTAAAGGCTAATGTGAATTTTGCAGACAGAGACTATGGTCATACTGGGAGAAGTGGGAGATTTATGAAAGTATGTGCAAGCAGCCTCTCTGCTGAATGTCATGTTCATCTAAAATATTTATCTCAACCAAGGCGGTAGTCTGTTGAGGTGCACTGTGCTGGCACCTGTTTTATCTGTGTACTGTAGATATTCTTTTTTTTGTTTGTTTATTGTATACATGTGAACAGCTTGTTTTTACATTGCATTTCTGGATTCTAAACTAGAGGTTTATAATAGGATAAAATTTGACAAAGAGAGGCTTCTTTGTCTTTCCTCAATCCATACCATAAGAAAAAAAAAATCAAGCAGGTCATCTTGTAGATTTTAGTTTGAGGGCCTACAGAAACATGAGTCACATTTTCAGGTCTGTTGCCTCTATATTCCATTGAACATGTATAGGGTAATGGCCTTGTTGTTTTAGATTCCTGCAGTTCTGTGGTATTGTCTGTTGCCAGTCAGGTGATCCTCAGTGATTCCTCTCTCTGCGTCCTCTTCCTATCTGTGTGATTGATTTGACAGCTCAGCATTTTATCTGCAATATGGGTGTCATGATCTTATCACCTGAGGGCTGTTTTGCACTCCCATTCCTGTTGCAGAGCTTTCCAAACACATTCCTCCTAAACCACCCCCATCATGTCCTGAAACGACAAAGGGAGACAGCTACTTCAGCTGTTAGGGCTGGTGCTTTATGGCCTGGGTAATTGCCCATATCCTGTGGGCCCTTATGTTAAGCTAAATAATTTCCTGGACCCTTTTTTATAGGTAGTATTATTTGCTGTTATTGCCAGTTGTTAGATGTGATCTCCGTGTACACTTAGCTTTAGTAGCTGAACTAGTCTTAAGCTATAGGCTTACCTTTTGACAAAGTCTGCTGAGCTGAACACATCTTTGGTTTTGCTTCTGCGTTCTTTTGGGGAAGTGTTGCTTGTGACTGACCACAGTGGTTTACAGAGACTATTGGCATGTATTATTTGATGAATATACAGAAGGGCACACAGCATTTTACTTTACTGATTGCTAAGCATGCTCTCATTTTAGATTTAGGTATACATCTATATATAGTAAAGTGTCTTTACATGAAATCTCTCACCTTATTTAATTAATATGAAAAATTGCATAATACTAAGTTATTTTGCATATAGAACATTTCTACCCCGCTGTCTTCTTGTTCTGTTAGAAGCTGTCATATTGTTTGTGTGATTAATGACAATGATCCTCTGTATAACTAGAGGGCTTGGACGGTCTGTAACTGAGACACGCCAACAAACTGAACAGGCCTTGTATAGTGGTGGACTGTTCCATTCCCATGGCCAGATTTAGGCTTGGATTCTGTGTATTTTAAACCCAAGCCACTTCCCTCTTATAATTTTCATTTCCTCTTCAAGTATTTTAGGAGCAAGCATAAACTGGCGTAAATGTCAGCAATGTATTTAGAACATATTTCAAATAAATGGTCTTACTCGTAAGACAAAGACCTGGTATGGACGCATGCTGTGTATGAAGGCTGTGAAGCCTAAACTAAAAAACACTTTGTTTGTGTCTTCATCACAACATCCAGATAGCAGGCTTGTCTTTATTTCTTTGTCAAGAAGCTCCTCTGATGTTCACAGACCATATCTCAATGCCTTTAAGAAGTGCTTTTAGCACTAAGTGTCTGAATTGTGGATATTGTTTTCAGTTGTGCTGCATGCGGGAGCATGAAGGCTGGGCCTTGTTGCGAGCTCTTTGCTGCAGCTGGGCTGAGATGGTTCTTTCCTGTGAGGCCACAGACATAAAAGGGCACAGATGTAAATCCTAAACCTTGTGTCTTTGATTGAGTTTCCAAACACTTTGAAAACAGGAAGGGGTTTCTGGGTGTGCGTCTGTGCGCACACACTTATGTGTGTTTATTTCTCTGGGAACATTTGGCATGTGTATGTGTTTTTGGGAAAGATAGGCCCGTATCCCAGATGAGAGAATTTAAGCAAACATGGCTTTATGTTTTCAAAAATAATTAATATTGGAGGCCTGTAAGAACATATTTTTATCTGCTCAGTAACTTTTGATAGATTTTGTTCTGTCGAGTGGCTATATTTAGAATTTGGAACAGACGTTTATTGGGTAGTAATTTTTTGTTTTGTTTTTTTTGATTCCTCCTAATCTTAAAGACCGAGATTCAATAAAAAGCTGCTTGAATGTGAATCTAATTCATTTTCAAGATGCACTAATCTGTTGGTTTCTAATGGTGATGATAATGTTATGATGATCCCACAAACGGGGCATGCTGTGATGGTTTACAACTTGTCATAGCAGTTTCTCTTTACATCCATGGGCCATCATCATGGTTTGGCGGTTTGTCCTTCCCAAGTTGCTCCTGAGATGTATTGATGGTTTCTCCCACAGCTAGATGGCTGCCTTGTTCCCTCAGCTTCCCGTCTCCCCCTTGGTTTCGGAGTAACTGACGAGTAGACGCTCAGTCCCTGGGGACTACTCTTACATCAAAGAAGACCAGAG